TGCTTTATTCTCTCCAAGTCTCACCTGTTTAGCAGCATTGACAATTCCACTTGCAATCACATCACATTTCATGATACCTCCAAAAATGTTCACCAAAATTGCTTTTACTTTCTCATCAGAAGTAAGTATTTTAAATGCCTCAACAACCTGAAACATGTAATTTAATAATTAACAGATTAAACAAAAAATTAAATCAGGTGATATCACTACTGAACAATAAAAATAGGGAATAGCACCGTTATGAGCAATTGAGCATCAAAAGCAGACCTTGAAAAGTAAAATTATATACCTGGCCTTCAGAAGCATTACCACCAACATCCAGAAAATTGGCAGGAGTTCCCCCACGCAATTTGATTATATCCATTGTAGCCATTGCTAACCCAGCACCATTGACCATGCAGCCAATTTCTCCATCTAAGCCAATGTAATTTAGATCTGCCTTGGCAGCAGCCACCTGTCATAAGAAGACGATGAATATTTAAAAGGGTAAGTACTAAGTAGAAGCAATTAATTATACTGTCCAGTCTAATTTATTTGAGGAGACAAGTGCTCGGCATATTCAATGCAAAGGCAGAGCGGAAAGATGTCCTCCTTACAGATACTTCAGACATAAACTTCATCTACGGTACTCTTTCATAGTCAACCAAAGAAATGGGCTTTTGAGTATTAGATACAACTAAGATCACATAAGAACAACTAAAAGAAGAAGCAACCAAACCTCACGAGGATCCTCTTGGGTTGGATCACGGAGAGTAAATATCTCCTTTTGATGAAAAGCAGCATTATCATCAAAGTTCAACTTTGCATCAGCTGCCACTAGCTGGTTGCTAGAGGTTTCTGCCAGGGGATTGATCTGTCCAAAAGAGTTAATATTAAAACACAGGTATCTGTCACCCACCAGAGTACCAAGAATGCATCAAATTGATAATACAACATAAAAAAAAGCATGGGCAATAAAAAATGCAATCAAAGAAAGAAGTTCATGCTCACTTCCAATAATGTGCAGTCACATTTGCAGAAAAGTTCATATAACTTCTTCACTTGTTCAATTGAATCCTTTCTGTCTGCCACCTTCAGAGCCAAACCATCCACAACCTTAGCAGCATCTTCATCAGTGATTCCTTTGAAAACATCAATGGGTACCTATAGGAAATGAGCAATAAATCAGTTGCAGAACCATACAGCAGTAGTGACTAACAAGCAATGAATAGTCTGCCACAATGATGATATAACCTTAATAATCATGTCAGGGTATTTCTCCGCAAGATCTTCGATGCTTGTGCCTCCCTTTCTACATGCAATTATGAGCTGAGAAACAGGATATGCAATAATGCAAATAAGAATCTTCAACATGATAAGTAATAAATAACAACAGACAGAGTAAAAACAAGTCATTCACAGTAAATGGAACATACTGGACCAGCAGTTTTACGATCCAGAGTGATAGCAAAGTACATCTCATTCACAAGTGACAACTTCTCACACAAGTAAACCTGCAGTAAGCAAAAGAAGTAAACAGAGATTCAAATAATTATCTCCTAGATAATAAAAGTGTATCCTAAGATTTATTGTAGTTATTCTGAGAATGGAAATGCTGCCAACTAGCTCAAAAAGAAAAAAATTTTCAAGAATAATAAAGTTTGCTATGGAACAATCATAAAAGAGAACCATGGAAGTTTTGAACTCATATTTCTTGGTTAATGTTTTAAAAAATGTAAGTGATTTGTATAAAAAATTTTCACTTTATTCACAGGTCTCAATACTTTCAAAACCTAATGAACATAATGATAAAAGAAAAGACTTGCATCTAGATATCTCTGCTCTATAAGAGACTCTACAGCACTAACCATTGAATTGCAAGCTCTAACCCAAAAAAAAAAAAAAAAAAAAA